AATATATTTAGCTAAATTTAAATATAGATGGTAAAAAATAAATATTAATTATTCAGTTATAATTTTTTTGTATAATTTATTATATTATGAGTGAGATATCATGAAATTTATTAATTAGTAATTACAATTACAAAAAGTGAATTTTATAATTAAATAATACATTATTGTTAAGTTTTATAATTATAGCATGAAATTAATTTAATTTAATTTTTTAAAATGTTAATGTAACTAAGAAATATGTATTCATAATATTAGTAGAGAAAATTTATGAATTTATATTTTTTTTTTCAAAGTAAAATAGTATAGCAACATACCACTTGTCGGGAAAACAATTCAAAAAAAGGCATTTTTGAGCATCACTGACGTGGAATATCTTGCTAATTGGCGGGAGGTGTGCATGCTTGTACCATTGACAGGATAATCAGCAATAAAAGACTTGTTGCTGAAAGTAGGATACTCTAATATTCACATAATAATCAACAACAAGAGATATGTTGCTGAAAACGGAGTGGCCTTACTATTCATAAAAGTATCAACAAAGGACTTGTTGCTAAAAAGGGTACCAAAATTCTAGTGACAAGCTCCAGTGACTATTTTTAGCAATTTGAGCTACGCCAATGAAACTCCACTTTAAGCAACAAAGGATATATTGTTGAAAAAGGTGCAAAATTCCGGTAACCGGCTTTAGTGACTTTTTTAACAACATAAATCACATCGATGAAACCATACTTTTAGCAACAAGAAGTATCTTGCTGAAAAGGTTATGAATCAGTAACGTGAAGCTTATCAGTAATGTATTATCAACCAAAACTTCTCTAACAAAGACACCAGCAACATGCTTTTTGTTGCTGAAGTACTTTCAACAACATGAGGAGCACTTTCACCAACGTGCTACCATGTTGCTGAAAATTAGGGTTTTAGTAGTGTATAATCAAAGTTGAAAAACCAAATTGGTATTTTTAATCAAAGTTTAAGGATTAAATTGATATTTTCTTCAAAGTTTAAGGACCATTTTGTATCAAAAATTAAAATTTAAGGATAATTTTGCTATTTTCTAAAGTTAAGAGACAATTTTAATAACATTTAAAAGTTGAAGGACCAAATTAATATTTTAATCATTTAAAAAATTAAGAAACAAATATTAAGATTACACTAACACGAGTTAAATGAATTTGGTTTCTCTTAAATAAAATATTATATTTGAGTCCTATAAATAGAAGAAACAAGCACTAAGAAAACTTCTCTCATGTATGAAGTCTGATGCGATTTGATTTTGAATTAATTAAAATTTAATATGATTTTTGATATTAACCTTTCAATATTCGAAAATCATGATTTAAAAATAAATTATTTTAATTGTTTAATAAAAATTTGTTTAAATAATATAATTTTAAAGCTTTTTT